TTGAGACAGGGGTCACCCAGGCTGGAGTGCGGTGGCAGGATCATAGCTCACTGCAGCCTTCATCTCTCAGGTTCAAGCAATCTTTCCCCCTCAGCTTCCTGAGTAGCTAGGACAACAGGTGCATGCCACCACGCCCTGCTAATTGCTTTTTATTTTTTGTAGAGATGGGGTCTCACTTTGTTCCCCAGGCTGGTCTTGAACTCCTGGGTTCAAGAGATCCTCCCTCTTCAGCTTTCCAAAGTGTTGGGATTACAGGCATAAGCCACCACACCCAGCAGTAGTTTTCAAATGAATTGTGCATATAGTAAATTCTATCTGAGGTGTGAAGTAAAGGTTAGTTGTGTCCATCTCCAGATCAACTTGACCCCTTCAAGGCTACTTCTCATTCCTACAAAGGACAGCAGGATTCATGTAAAAGAGTATCCCTATATTTGCTATGAATTCAGTGATCTAGATTTGGAGTGCTTTGCTTTGCCTAATTGTCTTCTCTTTCTTTGTAGGTTTCTATAGGTTTCCTACCAAAATGTATGACTGAGTCTAGTCATGAGAAAACAGTGGACAGTGGACATACACACCTGATATTTAGGGGTGATGGTATAGCCAGTGTGTAGCTTTCCGTCAGATTACTCATATAAAGCCTCAGGAGGCTGGGCACGGTGGTTCACGGCAGTAATCCCAGCACTTTGGGAGGCCTAGGCGGGCAGATCACTTGAGGTCAGGAGTTTGAGACTAGCCTGGCCAACATGGTGAAACCCTGTCTCTACTAAAAATACAACAACAACAACAACAAAAAACATTAGCCAGGTCTGGTGGTGCATGCCTGTAGTCCCAGCTACTCGAGAGGCTGAGGCACGAGAATTGCTTGAACCTGGGAGGTGGAGGTTGCAGTGAGCCAAGATTGCACAACTGCACTCCAGCCTGGGCAGGAAAAAAAAAAAGACTCAGAATAACAACAATAACACCATATAGTAGGTACATGCAGAGAGAGTGAAAGAAAATATGTTGAAATACTAAAACTTGGGGAATCTGAGTGAGGGGGACATGAGAATTCTTGTAACTTTTCGGTCACTTGAAATTATTTCAAAATTAATATGGAACACATTCATATTCATAATAAACATAAAACATATGTCTACACAAAAACTTGTACACAAAAGTTCATAGCTGCATATTCATAATAGCCAAAAAGTGAAAACAATGAAAATATACATCTACTGAAATACATAAACAAAATTTCATATCTAAATGATGAAATATTTAACAAAAAAAATAAAAAAATTGATATAGGCCAGGCGCAGTGGTTCATGCCTGTAATCCCAGCACTTTGGGAGGCCAAGGCTGGTGGATCACTTGAGGTCAGGTGTGTAAGACCAGTCTGACGAACATGATGAAACCCTGTCTCTACTAAAAATACAAAAATTAGATGGGTGTGGTGGTGCACACCTGTAATGAGCTATTTGGGAGGCTGAGACAGGAGAATCACTTGAACCGGGAGGCAGAGGTTGCAGTGAGCCAAGATAGTGCCACTGCACTCCAGCCTGGGTGACAGAGTGAGACTCCGTCTCAAATAATAATAATAATGAAAAAGTAAATACAGATACATACTACAACATAGATCAACCTTTGCTTAACAGGCTGCTATGAAAAAACTATATAGATGAACCTTAAAAACATGCTAAGTGAAAGCAGCCAGTTTGGCTGGGCACAGGGAGGCTGAGGCGGGCAGATCACTTGAGCCCAGGAGTTTGAGACCAGCCTGGTGAAACCCTGTCTTTGCCAAAAAAAAAAAAAAAAAAAAAAAAAAAAATCCCTGCAAAATTAGCCTGGCTTGGTGGCACATGCCTGTAGTCCCAGCTACTCTGGAGGCTAAGGTGGGAGGATTACTTAAGCTCGGGAGGCAGAGGCTGTGGTGAGTCGAGATTGCACCACTGCACTCCAACCTGGGCACCAGAGCGAGACTGTGTCAGAAAAAAAAAAAAAAAATCACATATTGTATGATTTTATTTATGTGAAATGTCCAGAATAAGAAAACTCATAGAGAAAAAAATAGATTTGTTGTTGCCAGCAGGTGAGGAGATGGGGAATGATGAATAACTGCTGATGTTTCAGGGTTTCTTTCTGGGGTGATGAAATGTTCTAAAAGTGATTGTGGTGATGGTTGCACAACTTTGTGAATATACTAAACCCCCCCGAAGTGTACATTTTATTCTTTCATTATTTTGTAATGGTACTAAGTTCTACTAAAGATAGTAGAAAAGCTAATATCATCAAGTTCCTTAAATGATAGTAAGAAAATCTTCTGGGCGGGGCATGGTGGTGGGTGCCTGTAATCCCAGCTACTTGGGAGGCTGAGGCAAAAGAATTGCTTGAACCTGGGAGGCGGAGGTTGCAGTAGGCTGAGATCGTGCCACTGCACTCCAGCCTGTGTGATAGAGACTGTCTCAAAAAAAGAAAGAAAAGAAAAGAAAAGAAAAGAAAAGAAAAAAAAAGAAAAGAAAAGAAAAGAAAAGAAAAGAAAAGAAAGGAAGGAAGGAAGGAAGGAAGGAAGGAAGGAAAGAAAGAAAGAAAGGAAGGAAGGAAGGAAGGAAGGAAGGAAGGAAGGAAGGAAGGAAGGAAGGAAGGAAAAGAAAAACTTCCGATGCCAGAAGCCGCCTTCACCAACAATCTGTCGAGCAACGTTCTTCACTCAGAGGCTCCCATCTGATACTAGGTAGGGAAGGCCTTGGTGCCCTTTACCCATAATGAGCCCATGACAGAATGCTGCCTTGGACAGAGCCCTCACTCACTCCAAAGAGGCCAGGAATGCTAGGTGGGGAGGAATTTACATGCCTAGGTCAGCTCTGGACCAGTGCCAGTCCTATGGTACAGAGAAGGACAGTGACAGCTAAAGAGCTTGGAAGAGTCCAAAGCCAGTCTTGTTTAACACCAGTAACAATTTTACCCCTACACTGAGGGCTAAAATGCATCCAATTCCAGTTCCTCTTTCTCCACCTAAGTAACTCCAGAGGTGGCACTAAGCCTGGCCCACTCACACAATCTAGGACAGAGCAATAGTCAGACATCTCAATGGGCTCAGCTTCCCAGTAATAGGAGTTACTGAGAACAGCACTGGGGGAGCCTCTGTCCACACCAAAAAGGAGCACCTGAGGTGTTACTGCCATAACTCCATCCTTCTTGCTGTGCTTTGAGAAACGGAAGCCAAATCCTACCTCCCTTCAAAGAGCTCTAGTTGCTATGAGAACCAGTACCACTCCCCTACTCAGACTAAGTGTGAGTCCCGAGACTTAGGAGGGTATGGGACCAGGAGGAGGCTCCGGGGTGTCTCAAGAGCAGCCACACTTCTCTGTCAAGGATGTTCACATAGTGAACACTCATCTTATGTTTGTCATCCAGGACCGTTAGGGAGAAGAGAATGACCTTGGTGGGACTACAGGTCTGAAAGAGCCAGGCACTCCCTCTTATAGTGCAAACTTTGAGTGCAAAGTTGGATTGATGAAGCTCACTGCTGAGGGTGAGGCAGGTCCCCTGACAGTAAGGGAAGCTGGAAGTCTTGGGTGCAACAATACAGTCACCGCAGGCAGCTCTGTGAAGGTTCACCTTGCAATCCTGCGGATGACAGAGCTGCTCTGCTGGAAACATATCCTGGCCATGGTCTATCTCCTCATGATTCTGGCCCGGGATCCCCAGAGTCAGCTGCTTCACACCAGGGATAAAGCACCTCTGGATGTAAGGCAGGTGAAACAGAGGTGGCTGTGTTGGCGACAAGGTCATAAACAGCAACACTATGTCTCACTTGCCTTTGATACTAAAACACTGGTTCAGGCTGGTGTCAGAGGCATTAGTAGCTGTAATCTTTTCCTCTGCCAAGAGGGTGGGCACCACCTCCATCCAATATATTAGTAAACAGTAGATCTCCAATAATGATCCTCCTTTCTGACTGGTAGGATGAAGATAATGGGGAAAGAGCCCAAGAGGAATCTTTTGCAGTTGGTGGTGGTTGGGGGGCGGGGGTTGATGGTTCTAGAACTCTAGAACAAGCTTAGTGACATGGGGGTAGTGGGCACCCAAACCCACAGCTGTATCAAGGAAACCTCCAAGAAGGGAACTGCCTCAAAACAGACAAGTCAGTAGCTGTGTAGGAACTAGGAGCTTTTGGATGTGAGGGTAAAACCATGTTGCCAGGCAGAAAAGATCTCATTTATGTGGAAAGGCAGCATCCGGCTGGGACAGTCAAACGTTTCTACCATACTAAAACATGCACCAAAGACCCAGAGCCAAGAGCCCATGAATAAGCCAAGAGCTGCCACTCCTCTCACTGCCACCCTCCATTGTGCCTGCTTTCAGATGGACACTTTAAATGAGAGAATATTACGGTATGTGAAATATATCTCAATAAAACTACAGAAGAAAAATAAATGTCACACATACAACATAAAGTAAAATCATAAAGTTTCCTAGGCCAGTGGCATACAGTAGGCAGGCTAAAAAGAGAGAAGCTCTGAAAGTTATTTATGTATTTATTTACTTATTGAAGCAGGGTCTTGCTGTGTTGCCCAGGCTGGAGTGCAGTGGCATGATATCAGCTCACTGCAACCTCTGTCTCCCGGCTTCAAGTGATTCTCCTGCTTCAGCCTCCAAAGAAGCTGGGATTACAGGTGCGCCACCATACCCGCTATTTTGTATTTTTGGTAGAGACGGGGGTTTCACCATGTTGTCCAGGCTGGTCTCGAACTCCTGACCTCATGTGATCCTCCCGGTTTGGCCTCCCAAAGTGCTGAAATTACAGGCGTGAGCCACCGCGCCTGGCTTGAAAGTCTTTTATTAAGCAAAAAGAACCACTACATGAGTAGTTTCTCAAAAAGACCAAAAGCCTTGTGACCAAGTGACGTGACTTCCCTTCTGTCTGGCTAGGTCTCGTCTCTGCTGCTAGGTCTCATTTCCCCGAAATAGCACAGGAGGCAAAAAATAGTGTGATGGTTATAGAGCTGGCTTTAAGTAACTCGCCCAAAGTCACACAGGTTATAGATCTGGATTGGAACCCAGGTAGCCAGACTGCCTGGGTTTGAATCCAGATCTGTAACCTGTGTGACTTTGGACAAGTTACTTAACCTCTCTGTGCTCTGTTATAAAATGGGGATACTTGACTGGGTTGTTTCGAAGAATAAATAACATAATCTTTGAAACATGCTTCAAAAAGCATCTGTTGCTTATTGGAATTTATTTGAAGTTGACTTTTTTTTTTAAAAAAGCCTCCCATTAGGACGTACTTTTTTTAGAAGGCCCCAATCATTTCATCCTCCCATTTGTCAAAGATCATTTCTATGTTGCATGCCACCTTTAATAAGACACCGGGTAGTAGTTGATCTAATGCTGATAAGCCAAGTCCTACTCCCCTTCTCTGACACTCCTTTTCTGCTATTGTGAGAACTATAAAATATGACTTGGAGAAGGTTGTTTTCAAAGGCTGAGGTCATTGCTGTCATTCCTTCATACTCTCACAGATTGACTCCAAACTGCAGAAGCATCTTGGTTTCCCATCATTCTGCAGACTGGGCCAGGAGATAGGAGCTTAGGAAGGCCTAATCAGAGAACAGATGCTCATTTCATGCTAACAATGTGCTAGCGCTGTACGTGAATAGCTTCATTTCATTTTCACGTAAACCCCGTCTTGTAGACTATTATTCTCCTCTTTTTCACATGAGGAAATTAATGACCAGAAAAGTTAATTTGTCAAAGTCACACAGCCACTGAGAAATGGAGCCAGAATTCCAACCCAGCTGTCTTCAGATCCTATTAACTGCCATGTTATATTGCCTGCCCCTCCCTAGAATGTAAAAGAGTTTACAGCTAAGGCCCTCTTTCACAGTAGCCCAAAGCAACAGAGTTCAGAAATTGTGTCTTAGCTATCTGTGTGTCCTCGGTGCCTAGGACACCGCCTGCCATGTGATAGGAACTCAAGAGTGTTTGTCCAACTGCTTAACTGTGCACGGAACATGTCATGTAGAATTAAATGAATCCCCCAGTTGCAGAGTCTATTTTCTACTTATAAGACTATTTATTTGTTTATTTACTTAATTATTTATTCATCAAGATGGAGTCTCAACTCTGTCGCCCAGGTTGGAGTGCAGTGGTGCGATCTCGGCTCACTGCAATCTCCGCTTCCCGGGTTCGAAGGATTCTCCTGCCTCAGCCTCTTGAGTAGCTGGGATTACAGGTGCCCTTCACCACGCCTGGCTAATTTTTGTATTTTTAGTAGAGATGGGGTTTCACCATGTTGGCAAGGCTGGTCTTGAACTCCTGACCTCAGGTGATCTGCCCACCTCAGCCTCCCAGAGTGCTGAGATTACAGGCAGGAGCCACCACGCCAAGCCAATTTTCTACTTCTAACACAATTTAGAGGGGTTGTTGTCGAGTCACAGAGATCTTAGTTAGAATTTGGTAGCTATGTGATCTTGACAAACGTATTTAACTCATCTGAGTCTTGTGTCCCTAACTTGGAAAATGTGGTAAATATCTACTCATAGCATTATTATTTGGATGGAATGAAACAATGCTGCAATGATAAACATATAGTAGGTGGTCAATGAATATTAGCTGTTACTATTGCCTCCCTATCCTTTCTTCCAAACAGGTCTTTGTGACAGGTCAATCATGAGTTAGTTCCCAACTCAAAATAAGTGAGGCAGAAACTGGAACTTTTCAAAGTAGAGTAGTGGAACTAGCATTAAATTGGAAATTGGGAATCTTGTCTCCTGGCTTTTGTTGCCCTTTCTCTACCCAGCAACCATGTAATCTTGGTCAAGTCACCTTACTTGTCTGGGCTTCCAATTTCATATCTTAAGGTACAGAATTGATCTCTGAAGCCTCTAGGATTGTCTGAATCCATACGTCTGAAACTAAGAGATTATGTCGAGGAATTATTACCCTTGGCTTGATTGTTTTTTAAACAAATTAACGTGGGAGTGGTTGGAAAATACATTTTTGCTCATCTTAGAGTTACACGTTGTTCATTTATTTGAAACTGAAACGTACCTCCTCCAAACACCTTAGAAACTTGGTTAAAGGCTGCAAAAGACTCAAACCCACCACCTAGCGGCGAAGACAGGAAGTTTCAGGTGATACAACATGTCCTGCCATCACACCTGAAGGATGGTTGTCCATAGCCATTTTTAAAAATCTCGTATTAGTTCTCTTCCCTCAACACTCAGAACAGTATTATGTACCCAGAAACTCAATACTTCTGGCGTCTTCATTTGACAGTACTCTTAAGCCAACGAAATACTGTGGACGTTTGAGAATTTTAGAAAGCTCAATGTTTTAAGATTGGCGGGGTGGGGTGGGAGTAGGGGGAGGGGAAGGTGCCTTCCTACCCTCGCATTTGCATCTCAAGCCACCCGTACCCGAGGCCCACCCAGTCCATCCGTTTATTGGTAGATACGCCATTCCGCCAGTGGCTGGTGCGGAGAACCACCTTTGAAAACACCTAAATCAATACACCAATGGGATCCCTGATGTCAAGTGTTTAACGACTTTGCTTTACCTACTACAGTAATTAAAATTAAGTCTTCAAACTTAAATTTAAATTTCTAAAAGCAGTAATGCACTGTCTTTAATCTTAAACACCAAAGGTGGTAGAAAGAGGCCAAAATCCTAGGGTACTAGGCCTACTGGTATAGGGCGATCTCTTCTGCTTTTTTCTTTCCACCCCATTTCTTTGCCCTTTCTCCTTTCGTTCCCCATCTTCCCTGTCTCTTCAAAGTAACAGTCACAAAATTAAGACCAGCATTATGTTTAAATGAAACAGGTAGTGCTCTGTGTAGCCTGATTCAATTATTTCAAGAGGGTTGCTCATCGAAAATATTTGTCTTCAAGCCCTTTCCTGAAATCTCAAATTAAAGCAATTCCAATACTCTGCTTTAAGTATTCCTAGTTAAGTCTATTTTTGGAAATATTAAATATTCTCACTTTAGCACAATGTTCCGAAATTCCCTGAACAGTTCGCCTATGATCAGTCTTGCTAGTAGAAACTTTTTTTTTTTAATTTAAAACGCTTGATTTCCACTTTTTACTAGGTTTCCCAATGTTAGCTAAGTCTCCCAATGACTTAATAACGTGTTTCCATTTCACCTTTGAAAATCTTAAGAGTTCAGTGCATCCACGGGCATCCGGGCATTTATTCTTATTTCTGCTTCTTAAACAGGCTCTGGGGAGGAGCAGTTTCGACCGAGAAGTTCATAGCAACAGTTATTACGGAACTTGCAACAGTTGGTGCCGGGCGATAGGCAGGTTGGAAGTGATAAATGGGGCTGGTGTAAAAAACAAAAAGCCCAGGGGAGGGCGGGGGCAGCCGTGGCCTTGGGGGACAGTGCGAGGGCGGCGCGGGGCCGGCGGGGCTGAGCTCCGGCTGTGGGAAGGCGCCGTTCCGGGCGGCCAGAGGCGGCGGCAGCCGCGGAGAAGGACGGCGGGATCGCAGCCCGGCGGGCGGCGGGCGGCGCGCGGGCGAGAGAGCCCAGGCCGCCCCCGGGCCACGCCGGGGCCACGGTGAGGTGAGGCCGGCCCTGCCCCCGCACCGCCCCCGGCGGGAGGCGCGACGCCCGGGCCGCGGGTGCGTGCGCGGCCCCGGGCGACGCGGCTGGGCGTGCGCGGGGCCGCGGCGGAGGCTGGGCCGGGCGGGCGGCAGAAGATGGCGAGGGTGTGTAGGCGGCAGCAATGCTCCGTTGAGAAACGCGGCTTTCGGCAAGAACTGGATTCGTGGCGCCACAAGCTCATTCACTGTGTAGGTGAGACCCTCCGCCGACCGCCGCCGCCCCTCCGGCCGCTCCGCCGCCGGCCGCCCCGGACCAGGGAGGGAGCTGGGGAAGTGGCAATTGCTGCTCCGGCCCGCCCGCCCTCTTTGGCTCGAGCGTCCCCCCCTCCCCCACCCCCCGGAGTGCGAGCGCGCGCGACCTCCAGGCAGGCTACCCCGTTCGGCCGAGCGCGCGCCGGCCCCTCCTCTCCGCGCGCCTCCCCGGGGCGGGCTCTCGGCGGCAGCGCGTGTTCCTCCCCCTCCCGCTCTCCATCCCCGCCCGCTGGCTCCCCTCCGTCCCCGCTCCCGCCCCTGCTCCCGCTCTTGCTACCGCTCCGGGCCCGGCGCCCGCCGCCGCCGCCGTCTTATTGTGGCGACTCGCCCCGCGGCCCTGCCGCTGTAGTGGGGGTGGCGGGAGGGGCGCGGCCGTGCTCGGCCCCCACCCGCGCTCCGGCCGCAGCCGTCCTCCTCCCGCGCCACCCCTCCCCCACGCGCGGGGCGCGCCCCCAGCCCTGCGTGCACGCGCGGCGGGCGGCAGGCGGGCGCCCGGCGCTCGGGCGTGTGCGAAGCGTGAGGTGGAGATGGGGGCGGAGGGAGCTGGAGCTGTCACAGTCCCCGGGTGCGCCTGACCGAGCCAAGTGGGGTGTCATGGCCGCGGGGGGCAGCGGCTGCACTTCCTCAGCGGGCGGCGGCGGCCGGGGAGTTAATCCTCGACGCACGGGTCGGTGTGTGCGTATTTGTGTTCGGTGTCGTGCCGCGGGGAGGAGGGGGTGGGACTGGGTCCGACCGAGGAGCCTCGGCGGGGGTAGCTCTCGTCCCCTCCGGGGGATTGGCCGGAGCCGCAGCCTCGCCCGAATGCCCCGTCCGCCCCCCGCCTCCTGGACCTTGGGCCGCCCTCGGGTGGCTTTTTCCCTGCGGGCCGGAGGGAGCGCGGACGGGGGCGTCCCGGGAGGGGCCGGGCGGCCGAGCTGCGCCTCTCACACTGTGTGTTTTGTCTGTTTTTCTCTCCCAAGGTCCCGTTTCCCTCTGTGCGGCGGCCGGCGGGACCATAAGGGCTTAACTCATATATTTAACCCCCCTCCAAAAAGTAAGTGGCCCGTGTGGTGTCTCCGCTCCGCCCGCCGCCCCCTAGCCCCAGTTCATCCTTGTGTCTGACTCTCCTGTCCTCCAGCATTGTTACTTCCCCGTCTTTGCTTCGGTGCTGCTGGTGTGTGGGGAGATGCCCTCTCGTCCGCTGTCCCCCACGCCCAGTCCTCGGGGAGGCCCAGAATTCCAGCCCTGTCTCCCCCAGGGGAATATTCTTGGGAACCAGGTCTTCCCGGCAGAATGTAGGAGAATCTATCCGTTCGCTTGGGCCCCTCATCCCCTCCTTCCCGACAGGGTTTCGTTGGAAGGAATTATGCAAATCCTGCTTTCTGGTGTCCATTCAGCGGCAATTTCATGCGGTGAGAAGTTCTCTTTGTTGTGCGAGGGGGAGAACAGACACTGATTTAATAGACATATCTGTTGGGGGGAAGGGTGGAGGGGGTGTGGAGAGGCTCAGTTTGGAAGAATTACAGCACTTGGTTAGCTCAATGTCTTTGTGTTTGAGCCTTCTGGCTTGACAGGAGGGTCTGCCCTTTACAATGTTCCACAAGGGGTGTTTTCGATAATAGATTGAAAAGCAAAACTGAAACTTTAAACAAGTGAAAAATCAGGTAACCTTTACTTGAAGAATATACGCCTTTCCATTTCTACAGGGTTTCATTACGAACATGTATAGCGTGAGTTTCGTTAAGGATTTAGACTGTAACACCAAAATTAATATAGACAACAATGCTTTAAGGTATGTGATACCACTTTGGTTGTCCAAAGGTTAAAAGTGCATTTTCAAACATATGCTTGTGCAAATAATAAAGGCATGAGTCATTTTTTTGGTATAATTCATCTCATGAATATATTTTAAAAATCCCCTTCTGCCAATCCAAGACCAGTGCTGCCCTCCAGGAAACAGCCTTTTGGCTCTCAGTTATCCTGTACTCTGCTCTATCTCTACTTGTTTTATTCTTTCAAACCTATTATACTTTTACTAAAATGTCACGTCGGTTTAAGTACTTTTTGAATTACTTGTTATTTCGTACTATCATAGAAGAGAGCATATAGCAGGTTTTGAGAAGCATGAAATTGCGTTTTCAGAATTGTGGGTTAGTATCAAATGCTGGAATTGTTTTGAATAATTTTTGGTTCTTGTATGTTTCACATTTGTTAGTGATTGGTTTTTTCAGCAGGGCTTTTTAGTCTTTGAAAGATTTTTAAATTTATAATGTAGTCCTGTCCTGTAGATTTTCTAAGTTCCATGTTGCTTTAGTTTAGATGATTTTAATTAGTGTGTCTTATTCTAATTCTCTTTGCTTTTAATCCTGGCCTCCTGCCTCGGGACCCCATTTTATCAGTCATTGCTAGTTAGTGATTAGTTACTGCTGCTTGACAAGGTGTGTGTGTGTTGTTGTTCTTTTTTGTTTGTTTGTTTTTTTGAGACGGAGTTTCGCTCTGTTGCCCTGGCTGGAGTGCAGTTGCGCCATCTCGGCACACTGCAACCTCCGCCTCCCAGGTTCAAGGGGTTCTTCTACCTAAGCCTCCCGAGTAGCTGGGACTACAGGCGTGCGCCACCACGCCCAGCTAATTTTTAGTGGAGACGGGGTTTCCCCATATTGGCCAGGCTGGTCTCGAACTCCTGACCTCCTGATCCGCTTGCCTCGGCTTCCCAAAGTGCTGAGATTACAGGTGTGAGCCACCGTGCCCAGCCGTGTTTTTGGTTCTTAAAATTATGACTGACAAATTATTTCTGTAAATATCTCAATGGAATATCAAAATTTTGATTCACTTTTGAAGGCAGATTTTAATCTGGTGATCAAATTTCTTTAAGCATACTTTTAAGTCCAAATTTCCACTTTAAAGGTAGTAAAGTTCAGAAGATTACAGAGTCCAGAGTGCAGAGCAATATTTTAATCTGAGCAGTAACATATATTCGTAGTCTCCCAACTAAAATCAGTGGGGCCTTATATTTTCTCTTTTATTATATGTAATTTTGTTCTTTAAGAGGAGAGTTCTAAGTAAATTAATTGTAGTGTTAAGAACTTCCTATATTTAAAAGGACTGGCAGTGATGCTTACACAATTTAAAAGGTAACTTGTTTACTTCCCGATGTAGTAATTCCTCTTTTAGTGGAATTGGTTCTAAACAGTTAACCTATTTGATTCTCTTGACTGATGAATGCTTTAGGGTCATTTGGTTTCTGGAAGGTATTTAATTTACAGCCCTTTGGATTAAAAATTCTCAGTCATTTCTAAAATCAAATTCTCCCTTCTGTTAATACTTTTTTGGAGGGTGTGGGGGCAGGCGATGGTGGTGAAGTTGATTAAATGATTAGGTTCAGTTGAATTGGAGTTAGTCCTGGGTTCAGACGGTGATTATGATCAAGATGGATATTTGGTTGCCAGGTGATTATTAAGGAGTCCTCTGAGACTAGGATGATCAGTTTAGATTCCAGGAAGATCTAGGCTCTCTCTGCGCCTGATGTGATGTAACCTTTTGCTTTGCTGCACCTTGCCCTTGCCGTATTTTCAAGAAGCTCTTCCTAATGTGGGGAAAGTTGTGGTGATTTCAGCTTAGCTGTAGCTTGGCTAAAAATAGGATGGCAGATGAGTCTCTTTGACTTTCAGAAAGTTATTTCAGATTGCCCTAATTTCCTCAAACGTTCTTGTAGCTGGAGCAATTCTAGGAAGTATTTGAATTATGCCATTTTTTAGCCTTATGGAACTACACAGGGGGGCCTGGAATTTCTTACATAGTGAGAATTGGTGATTTGATGCCACTTTTATTTTTATTTGAATTTTTTTTTAGAGATAGAGTTTGGCTATGTTGTCCAGGCTGGTCTCAAACTCCTCCTGTCTCAGCCTCCCAAAGTCGCTTGCCTGATAGAACTTGCCACTTCAGAGTACCTGCCTAATCACCTAGCTGTTTGTATGCATGCTGTTTTTAGGATGAAGGGCAGTTAGGTGTTTACTTCATTTAAATAAGTATCTGTCTTGTATCAGGCACTGTGGGCAAACAAAGTTACTGGGAAAGCTGCCTTAACCTTAAGGAACTTTTAAATCTTAGAGAAAATGTAATCAGTTATTGTACAAGGCATAGTGTGTCATATGATGGTGCAAGCAAATGCTAGTGGTGTTTAGAAGTGAAATAAATCTCTCCTGAGATGATGAAGGAAGATTTCTTGAAGGTGGTAGATTTTTGCTTCATTCTAATGAATATGGAAAAGGCATTCCATTCGTGATAAATGACATGAGCAAAAGCGGAGAAGGACAGCAATGACTTGTCAGTTTAAACTGCAGTTCATGATTAGTGTAAGGGATATACACAATAGGTTTGCAAAGGTAGGTTGTAGGATTTTCTAATGCATGTTAGAAAGTGGAGACTTTTTGTTAGGCAACTTGCAGTTTGCAACACGTTTTTTTTACTTAGCCCAGGGGAGGAATGTTTCCTTTAGTTAAGGATTTCATTGTGGAACTCTAAAAAAAGGACACAGAATCCTTTTTTTGTTTGTTTGTTTTGAGACGGAGTCTTGCTCTGTCGCCCAGACTAGAGTGCAGTGGTGGCACGATCTCAGCTCACTGCAACCTTTGCCTCCCGGGTTCACGCCATTCTCCTGCCTCAGCCTCCTGAGTAGCTGGGACTACAGGCGCCCGCCGCCTCGCCCGGCTAATTTTTTGTCTTTTTAGCAGAGACGGGGTTTCACCATGTTAGCCAGGATGGTCTCGATCTCCTGACCTCGTGATCCGCCCGTCTCGGCCTCCCAAAGTGCTGGGATTACAGGCTTGAGCCACCGTGCCCGGCCCAGATTCTTTTTTAAACCACCTTTACAGGGACAATATTATCATCCACAAAAGTATTATCTTCTAAGCAAGCTCATTTGGAGGTTATGCCTTCCATTGCTATTACAAACCTATTTTTGGAATACCTTTAGGATTGACAGATTTTCATCCTTGGAATTTGGAGTTGGTATTTGGAAAGAGTCAAAAAGTATTTGCTGTGAAATGTGGCAATTAAAGGTATATATTAAATAATGGGATTGGCTTTCTTCCCTGGCTTGCAGACTAGCTCAGAAAACTCAGTAGAGGGGCTTGATTTGTTTCTATGTGCCTCCGAACCTCTCTCTTGATTCATATTTCCTTTAAGTGTGTCCATCTGTTGTGTGGAATCTCAAGTTTGTGATATTGGATAGATGCAAATAAGCAAAGCTGTTACTTTTCATAGTTTCAAGTGAAAAACTTAACATCACTACTGTATAAATTATCTTCTAGTCTATCTGTGTTTATTTTTAAATTCCTTTTACTATTCCATACACTTGCACATTGCTCTGGGGATAAAAATCCAATATAAACCATTAGCTCATTTTATTGACCATTCTTGTATTCAGCAAGTATCCCAAGTACAGTGGTCCATACCTTGAATTTTTTTTTCATTTTTTAAGTGAGATATAATTCACATACCATAACAACTTAGTGGGTTTTAGTTAATTCAAATACAAGGTTGTGCATGTATCATCACTGTCTAATTCCAGAACATTTTATTTTTATTTTTTTCAGCAGTGGGGTCTTGCCATGTTGCCCAGGCTGGTCTTGAACTCCTGGGCTCAATTGATCCGCCTGCCTCAGTCTCCCAAAGTCCTGGGATTACAGGTGTGCGCCACCAGAACATTCTTATTTCCTAAAAAAGAAACCCTACATCCGTAGGCAGTTCCACATTCCATTCCTCCCGTGATCCAGCTCTTGGCAGCTACTATAATCTGCTTTCTGTTTTGTGGATTTGTCTGTTCTGGACATTGCATGTAATTGGAGTCATACAATATATGGCTTTTTGTGTCTGGCTTCTTTCACCTAGCATAATGTTTTTAAGATTCATTCCTGTTATGGCATTATCAGCACTTTGTTTCTTTTATGGCTAAATAACACTGCATTGTATGGACATACCACATTTTATTTATCCGTTAATCAGTTGATGGACATTTGGGTTGTTTCCACTTGGGGCTATTATAAATGATGCTTCTATGAATATTTGTGTACAAGTTTTCGTGTGACTTTTGTTTTTAGTTTTCTTATGTACCTAGGATGGAATTACTGGGTCATGTGGTAACTTTGTTTTAGTTTTGTGGAAACTGCCAAATTGTTTCCTAAAGTGACTGCAGAATTTTACATTCCCACCAGTACTGTATGAGAATTCCATTTATCCACATCTACTCTAACATTTGTTATTGTCTGTTTTGATTATATAATAGCTATTTTAGTAGGTATGAAGTCCTATTTCAAAAAACCAACAAATAAATACAAAAAAAAAAGACAAGTTATATTTCATTGTGGTTTTGATTTGCATTTTCCTAGCAATGTTAAACATCTTTTCATGTGCT